TTTTTCGGTTCAAAAATATTAGATACATCCATTTTATTGTTCAGTGATCCACGGTAAAAATTGGTTTGTTCGTTGGTGTTTGATATATTGTATCTTATAAAACATATTTTCATCAACGATCAACAATCTTAGTCGTACAAAAGACTGCTGTCAAGTACAGATTACAGTTGAAAGGTATTATTTAATTAATTTCATTGTTTTCTAATTAAAATATATTTTTTTAAATTGTTTTAATGATAACTATTGCTAAAGCGTATAGTTGTGCATGATGTTGTTTTAAAACTAGATATTTTACTTCACGTATGAAGTAATTTTATTAGACCTGTTGGTTTTACTCTAAGATTTGTTTAATTTATTCTATAGTAAAGTTTTGCCTCCAGAGTCGTTTTGTATTCATCCATCTACTGTTAAATGAAATTACACAGAATTTAATTTATAAATAATTATATTAAGGTTATAAATAATATTTTTTTGCGAGACTATAATTATATAATTAAATCAATTATAAGTAACTAGTAATTATTTTTAAAACAAAATTTTTGCCCCTCAAATTTTGGCCTTACCTATCTCCTAAATTGATGGATAATAAATATTAATTACATAATTTAACTATAGATCCCCTGTATTAATTTATGTTACTTATAAAAAAATTGTATTTTCAGAAATATTAATTTTTTCAATTAATAACAACTATGGAAGCTAGTCTTAAACCAGTTGTAAGTATTAAATGTTGTATAATCTAAAATATTTGAAATTCGATGTAATTATTAATAACATTAATCATACATACAACAATTATTGAATCTTACTAAAAATGTGTATTATATATTTATAAATATATGTCTAAGTTAATAAAATACAATTTATTGTACTGTTGTATATTTTTTTTTTAAGATATGTTTCATTTTATTGAATTAATCTTATTTTTAGAAAATATTTTGAATTATTTTTTTAAACGATTTTACTTTAGGAAATATTTAATTTGGTGCGATCAATTGTCCAAAATGTAAATATTAACAATTTTGAGGAAATGGCACACACAATTATTTCCATACCACTGAAAACAATTTATATATTTGAAAACATAGTGGATATAATTTATTTTCGGGTATATAAATATTATTAATAATTATAACAGTTATTAAATTTATTGTTTTACTTATTTAGGCTTTAAATAGACCCGATTTTACAGTTTTATATGCAAAGTTATGTGCATACATGGCCAATCATGCTGCATTTAATAAACTTCACAATTCTAAAACTACTTTTCAAAATGTTTTAGCACAAAAAATCTTCGATATGTTTACCTCATATTATACTCGTACTCCTCAGAATGAAGTACATAAATTGAAAAAAAATTTTATGAACAGTAATATGGTAACTAGTTATATAATTTTTTAATATAATAATAGTATTTTTGTGATTATATTAGATTTTATAATATACACTTGTATACACTTGTTTTATTTAAATAATTACACGTTATTAGTTTAAACACCTTCTACTTCTATAAAACCATTGTTCATGTTATCATCAATATCGTTTTCATCTTTTGCCGTCGAGTGGAGACCAACATCTGAAAAGTCTTCCACGCATTGCGTTACTGTGCATTCGTATCTACAAACTAAACTTGATAAAGTCGATACAAATTCTACGTACTCGGACAATGAACTACTGGTGGAGTTACAGTCTTCTCCATTCTTGATATCAAGGAGTTTTGTATCATTTTCAATTTCCAATTCTGAACGATTTTCCGACCGACTTTTATCACTTGTTATCTCATTGCTTTCAATGGATTGATCCTCAATTTTTTCTATAGTTTTCTCTGTACGGAATTTTCGTTGTTATTTTATTGCATAATATAATCTATAGTTGTTAGTCTTAAGTCATTTCAAGCTTAAGATAAATCTCTCAGTACTGATACTTGCATAGTTAATTTTTTTTTATAAATAAACTGATTTGTAACATTTTAAATCAAGACTTATTCATATATAATATGATTTAGGTACCCAAATGTATATTATATAATTAACAATAATAGCTAATAATTAAACTGACTTGAGTAGAACTACTCAATCAAACTACTAAAACTTAACCATTCTTATTTGCTTTTGACTAAAACCAAATTATATTCAAATAAATTTTCCACCGATTGATAACATATGTTTTTTAATTTAATTATCAAATAATATAAATATTTTATATATGTTATAGACCCCATCTTTTTTCAAGAATATATTGAATAGTTTTCATTTCCAATATTATAAAAGGTCTTTAGCCCATTGCAAGTATGTTTTCAAGTAAAATTAATTAATAATTTGTATATATTGTACGAAATAATATTTTTATAGATTTATCGGTGAATTATTCAAACAAGGGGCTTTTACCGAAAAAAATATATTGTCGTTCATTCACGAATTGATGAAAGTAAAAGATATTCTGAATATTCATTGCTTATGTATAATATTACAAATAGCAGGACAAAAATTATCAAAAGTAATAACCAAAATAGTAAAGTATTAGGAAATTATAGAATAAATAATTTCTTATTTCATTTTTTTTAGACTCATAATTTGGACGGTATAGTACATCATATTTTATTATTTAAAAATGAAAACACTGTCCTCATAAAAATGTCACCAACTCTTCAGTCTTTGATATTCAAAATACAAAACTTGCATTTAAAATGTTGGATACATGAAGGTAATAATGTCAATTTTCAAATTATACTGTATAAATACTATTGTTCATTAGAAAAAATGTACTATTAAGTTACTAAATTTATTTTAACAAATTTTTTTTAAATTTAGTTAGGTTTTATAATATGTTATGTATAATTATAATTTTTTTTTTTTTTTGTTATAATATATTCAACAGTTTGAATTTTAAAATTTCAAGTTATGCATTTTATTTATGTTTAGCAGTTATACAAAGTTGTAACATTACTTTCAAATTGTATATTGGAAAGTAGGATAAAATTATTTTGTAATTTTGTATTAGTATAAATTTTTATGCAGTAATAAATAATTGCTTTTAAAAATTTTTTTTAACAATGATCAGTTTGCAATAATGATTCCTTCAAATTTTCATAACGAAGACATCAAAATTGTATTTTATTAAATTAAATAAATAATATACAAGAATGGTACATGATATCTTCTGAACAGTTTTAATTTAATATATTAACTATTAACTATTTTAATAACTAATTTTTTACAGAACCTCTTAAGTTAATTGAGGACAATGAACAATATATTTCCTTTGAAAATTTGCCGGAGCAATTAAAAAAACTATATGATCTTAAATCATATACAGTAATGGCCCAATGTATTATTGATGAATGTATGGCTGTTCTTAACGGTTTTGACAAGATAAATATCAATGTATGTAGTAGGTTTATTTATTTTATTATCAGTATTTTAAATATAAAAAAAAAATAAAATAAGATGAAGAATATATTTTGATTATTGTATTACTATTAGATTGTTATTATGAAGAAGAATAATAAATAATTATTCCACATTTTTTATAACTCATCAAACAAATCCACTAAAACATCCTAGATATCGATCATCAGAAACTTGAAATTTGAAATATCTATTTCTTACTAATATTAAACTTTTTTTTTACACAAATATCTTAAAACATATAATTATTTAACCATCAAAGTTTATATTATTATACATTATAATACCAATAACTTTTTGATTACATCTTATGTTTATTTATTTCAAAATATTTACAGGAAATAGTACATTCGTTAAAATATATCAACTCGTGGCTACATTACGATCAAGTGTCATTCGTTGCTTCTATGATACTTATAACACTAAACGAAGACCAAAGTATTCGCCAAAAGGCTGGTATACTTTTAAACTTATTTATTAAGAAAGGCTTGTTATTAATTGATTCGGTTTTATCGGGGTAAATATAATAATATAAATTTTCTGTATTGTACATTTTATTAATTATTATTTTATTTTTATTTCATATATTAGAATTAACAAAATAATGGATGACTCAGAATTGAAAATAGAACTTCCAAGATTATCAGATTTATTATTTGACATCACTGGTAGGATTACATATCTGAATTAATTTTGTATAACTTAATTTATACTGTTTTGTATTGTATATTCTAATTGCTTTTTACTTGAATTTAATATTTTTAAATCGAGGATTTGTCTAAAATTTTTTTTTGAGTTATAATACAATTTTCGTTGGTCTAAATGTGAAATAAATTATTATTGTTAAATAATCCATATTTTAGTCATTACTTACTAATCTTTAATTTCGCATTTTTTGAATACTTTTGGCATAATAATCAAAAATATTCAATTGCTTACATTAACAATAAATTGAATTATTAATTTTTATTTTTTTTTTTTGAGATTTCACATGTCTCTGTTTTTATCATTTTTGTTGCTTGTATCTCATAGGCATTCTTGGCTGTGATAAATTTCTATAAACTTAATCACAACCGTCGATCAAACATGTTTAAATTTGCCATTGTTTTTATTTTATTAGTTAATTACTCATTCTAAAAAGTAAAAAAATATAAGCACAAGTTTAAATTAAGATATATATTTAAAAAACCACAAAATAAGAATATATCATAATAATCGACATGAACGGATTCATACAAGTTTCGAATGTTTGATAAAAATAAATGCCCAAGAGATTTGAAAAACTATGTACATTTGTTGATAGTTTTAGAAGCCAATTATCGTACCAAATAATCTCGGCACGTGTAAACAAAAAAAGCAGAGCTTATCGCTTTCAAAAGTCACCATGAATTCTCGAAAACCGCGTGAGTTATTATCATGGTGTAAATAATCATGATATGACTCTTGAACAAAAAATCTTGTATTCGATAATCGCATGAAAGATGCTCGAATGGTAGAATGGTAGGTACGAGAAATGAGAAACTCTTTCCGTGTAAATCCGTTTAGACTTATTAAAGTATTAACATTTTTAAAATATAAATAATAGTACACCAGATAAGAATAGTAATAATTTTATAATCGACTATTTTACTTTATAAACTGATATACCTACCTACATATTGTAAAATTATAAAAACCTATTTGATAATAGAAACGAAATCGATATTCGGCAGGTCGGTCGAAGGGTGGAAGAATAATAACATATATCAACTGAAATTATAATATATTTTTTTTTTAATATAAAACTATGTGAAATCTTGGAGTACGGAGAAATCAAATATGCTCTACTCTGTGCTTGGAAATAATATATGATAGATTTTATTCAACCATACCTTGACTTATATCTCTTCTAGTTTTTTTTTTATCCACGAATAGATCAACTATAGAGATATAATACTAGTTAACAAGCTTTTCTTCCTATAATTCTAAGACAATTGTATAATTATATAAATTAAATTCTAATTCATTTATGTATACATTTTTATTAATAATATAAATTAAGTTAATAACAATTCATTGAAATTTAAAAAAATAATATAAATGTTTATGCTTTTCATTTCGACATTAATCTTTTTGTAATTATTTTGTAAAGATGAATTATCACAAAAACAAATCAATTAGGTAAATAATAAACCCTTATCCAAATATATTCTAAATGTGTAATTCAATTTAAATATCAAACAGTATGTCCGAGGTTAGTAATTATAATAGTTGTGCACTTGTGCTTAATAAAATAGATTTCATGTGTTGAGTTATTAAATTATACAAAATATAGATAAGGGGTGCGTGGGCCGTAGGGGCAAAGGCCCCCCACAAGTTTACCCTACAAATTTATTTTGATCCCCCTCCATCAAACATTCTCAGTTACGCCACTGGTTCGGAGGAAACCTCGAGGACATTTTTAACGCGATCCCTGAAGCTGTCGAATTTGTTGAATAGTCTGGACATTATGTTATGACTTTTACACTAAAACTATTATACTGTTATATTCTTTGCACTTTTATACTCGTTTTGCTATTTATACTGTCGCTAGATACATTGCGTCTCACCACTTGTCAATATTATATTCTGTTTTGCTATCTGCTTTTAACATAGGTAAATTATTTATAAATTTTGTTAAATTGTAAAAATTGTTACATTGTATTTACCGAACGAATAAACGAATAAATAAAATCCGGGCGTAAAGCGGGAGTTGAAACGAGACGTAAACGCACTAGTGCAACAACTGGTTTTAGACATTAAACCATTTCAACTAATAAAATACATTTTGGTATTGCCGATTGAAGATCGTTGTAAACTTGTGAATCACATTAATATAAAAAATACGCGTTTCGATTATACGTAGGTATAGTACATGTATATGGTATGTATTTATATATCTATCTATATATATATATATAAAAATACGAGCCGACGATATTTCTTAATGCATTCGAAAAGGCAATAAATATAGCTTAGAAACAGTTATTGGTGTATTAAATCCAACGTACAAGCATGTATCAACATTCAAATAAAAACTAACCGGTGTGGGTTGGATAACTAAACTACTAATAACACTGATATTATATTGAACTTGAAAAAAAGATATCAACTCGTAGCGTAATGAACGGTCAAACCACAGCAAACGTTGTTTTTCAAATAAAAATCGAGTTTTTAGTTTTTAATATCATTTGTTTAGGTATTAAAAATATAGTAGAAGGAATATAGTATCGAGTAGAAGGAAATTAAAAGCAATACATTATGAGTAAATGTTTTTCCAAAATAATTCTGGAACATTCTATACCTATGAGCAACGCCAATATTTTACACGTACTGTGATAGATCTGTGCGAGAAACAAATAATTGTGACACAATGTTCAATGATGTATAATTGATGTATAATTAGAACCCTGAATGAATTATACTGCGTACGAAATAGATTTCGGAATGCCAATGTAGAAGATTCGATCAAAAAGACCACATACGTAAGAAATAATACAAATGCATTAAAATTTAGATAAAAATATATTTTTACAACACCGACGATGGTCGGTGGTACTTTAGTATATAGTGTCGTCGTATCGGTAGCCAATCACGATAGTCTTTTCAATAATGCGCGCGTATCGAACAAACCTTAAACTAACTTTATTGCATGGTTTACAGTAATATTAGATGCACATTGAATTTGTATACGAGAGAAGCATATGAATCATATTATTTTTTTGCGGAATATTTTTGCCACGTGACGTCTAAGGATTTAACTTGATTTATGAAGAGTTTTCGTCGACTTGACGCAGTATGACCGTCGCAGTGTGTTATGAAAGCTAGACGAGGATTTCGTATACATTATAATATTATACTAAACTACCTACTATGGAGGTTCAATAATCTACGAGCAACAAAAGATTCTTATAAATCTCTCTCTCTATCTCTCTCTCATTCGCTGTATAGTCGATTTGCACGTTATTAATAGTTGAAAATAATATTTTATTTGGTGATTTTCGTTTATCGTAAATGGGTGAAATTTTTTTACTGTTAGCTCTAACGTTTCGATTACATCGTATACACACGCGTATACACAGATATAAATTAATATAAAAAATAAATATTATAATTGTTCCGAGCACACGTCTTTTGTAGCATTAATTGGATTGTAACATATTAAAACACACATCCATTATTTATCAATACTGTACACAAACATATACATTTATATATATACACGTCATTATTAATAACGATTAGATATATAATTTATACATATTTATTATATATATATATATATATGACCGGAGATTTCAGTCATTTAAGTTACGTAAAGCGAATAATTGTTTTACAAAGTTTCACAAATTACGATTTAAAACTCAACAATATTTTATCAAGGGAAATACAAACTTAAACCTCCTCGCATGAACAAGTTTCATTGGGTTTATTATTTTTTTTTTATCCAGTTTTTCAGTTCTTCTTTACTCTCTCGAAAAGGCTATATGCTGAGAAATATCAATATTTATTCCTCTAAAGTTAGTATCTTCTACCGTGTCTGATTTTCGATCTAGCAAATCACCACGTGAAACTTTTAGTGCATATCGAATAGACGAACAATAATGTTAATAGTATAAAAACAATGCATTGTACGAATACTGTATACTTTGCATTTCGTTGTGAACAAGAAAAAACTGTCCCTTATAATTTATGTTGTTTCTTTGTAACTCGAATTAAGACACATCCTAAACAACTAAAATCTAAAACTCGATCTCGTGTCGATGATTAGAATTCACAGGCTTATGAAAAACCTGTAGAATAAGACAATGGTGTACTTAGAATATTTGAATGGAGGACATTCAGCTATTGTCTGATGTGCGTGATATGGTCCAGGCGCGGCAACATGGACTAAGCATGTCGCTTACACCAGGTCACTCAATTTCTTAACAGCCCAAGGTAATAGACTCTAAAACAGCTTTATCGATTTACAATTGGCAAGTGACAACCCCGAATAACAAATAACGAGTATGATATTAGATGTTTATATAGGTATCTATAGCGTCAATGGGAGGGTTTTGGACTTCATGGGTCTCCCTAACCCGTAAATACGCCACTGGAATATAATGAATAAAACATAGCACTTACACATTATTTCACGTATTTTCCTTGAATGAAAAAATAACCTCAACGGTAGGTAAACAAGAACACGTTAACAACAACATAACATAAATGTGTAATTAATATGAAACTTAAATAATATTTTAGTACACGTCCGAAGGCAGTGTTCTATACCAGATCGGTCGAAGATAAACAAGTGAAATGAATTATATATTATTATGATTTTCTTCGTTTTTAATTCGGTCACCTACAGCGCAAAGGAATATAAATATATTATCCTGAGAATATAATATGAAACAACTACCGAAGTACGCTTTAAAGTCTTTCGCTACAAAATAAGATGATCGCTCTTAAAAGAGCCAAGAGGGTATTGGAATTGTTTTAAGCAATAAATATGGTCAAATATGTTAGTAAAAAAAATGTCTATATAACGTTATTA